TCAATATCCGTGAGGGACCCCGGGAGGGCTCCAGTATGTGTCCAGCCTGTTTTGCCCAGTCCTGATAGGGGCTGCTCGGGGCTATCTTGCCCAGTCCCGATTGGGGCCGGTCAGCTGGGGAGGGACCACGGGATGTTGGCTGGCTGAGGAGGGACCATGGGAAGGCTCCAGGGTGTGTCCAGCCCATCTTGCTCAGTCCCAATTTGGGCCAGGAAGGAATTGAGGAAGGGCTACAGGGCGTGTCCGGCCTATCTTGCCCTGTCCCAATGGGCCAGACCCCAGCAGCAAGCTAACCTACCGGTAGAGCGTCTGTCCCCTGGTGGTCACTGTGTATGATAGAGAATGGACAAATGAACAGTCAGATGCTTAGCATATTAGGTTTTTATTATATAGGATAAAAGGCTAAGTTGACTTGTGCATGCGTAATACATATAAAGGTCTCACTGGCGCCAATCACACACGTGTATTTTCATCTGTCATTATTGATCATGAATTTGGTTGACACTTATATTATAGAGAAAGGGCGAATAGCAATATTAAAATACTAGTAGCCCTGCCCACGAATCTGTGTGCCAGTAGTTTGCCAGTAGCTCAGTGTACAGATTTGTGCACTAGTGGGGTCCCTCAGTCTGGCCTGTGGGGATCAGGCTGAAACAGGCTCTCTGATATCCTCTGAAGTGTCCTGGATTGCAAGAGGGTGCAGGCCAGGCCAAGGGACCCCACAGGTGCATGGCCTCTAGTATATACATAATATATAGAATATATGTACAATATATAGAATTGTACACTTGAAACTTAGATAATCCTATTAATTAATGTTGTCCCCAAAAATGTAATTAAAAATATACATAAAGTATATTTCAGATATTTTAAATTCTGGTTTTAATTTCAGAAGTGTAGTATGTTTCAAATAGTTATTTATATTTAAATATCAATATTGTATGTGCATCATAAAAATAAAAAAAATATAAGAAAGCTATATTGAAGTGTACACTTGCAAATTTAGGGGATACCTATACTGACTCCATTGGCAGCTTAATCATCTCAAACAGCCACAATTTGCTAAAATAAGCAGCTTATATTTTCTAGATATCTATGTTGTATAAATATAGAAGCTGCATAAATGTTTATTGAATGACCAAAGGTTTTGCAAATACTTACATCTGATTTAATGGATACATTTATAAATGTGTATATTTAGACATATGTTGACAAGATATTTCCACCCTCATTCTCAGGTCAACAGGAAAACATTAACATGTGGTTTTGTGGCTAACTCAGTTGTATCTCTTTATTTGTTCATTAACCAGAAAATAAGATTTCCTGTTTGTTTGTTTTTTAATTACCAAATAAAACTTTAGTTTAATTTAGAATAAGAAAACGAACTTGCCTCCACACTTGCTACAGAAATAACATGATTAAAATCTGGATTAATAATTCTATGGTCTGACTACTTTCCTTAAAAGTTATTTAAATGTTTCCAGAGTTAAGTATTCTCTTTAAAAAATGTTACTCAGCCTCTTACATGTATTTCTATGATTATACCTTAATACATTCTTATTGAAATTATCTACATCCATGTTTGACTTCCTGCTAGACTGTGAACTTTTCCAGGATAGGTCTTGTTCTAGGTCAGTCAACATAGTTCTGGAGTATAGAGGAATAAGTAGGAAAACTAAATTGTTGAAATTATCTCAGGGAAAAGGTAGCAAGGGTCTGAACAAACTAGCAATAGTAACAGCAAGAAAGAGTGGATGAAGATACCTTGTAAAAGATAATCAAAAGCATTGAGAGATTAATTGCACCTGAGGGATAAGAAGCATGATTTTTTTCACTACAGTAGATATGCATGGGAAGCCAGTGTCTTTCAGTATAATTTTCCTGAGTCCCAGTTAGAGCCTCTAAAAATTCTCTTCCTCTAAGGGTCACTGAACTGTTGTTGGAGTGAGTCCAAAGGGACAGCTGTAATATACACTAGCTCTGAAGGATGAGTATTATCCATTTCTTTCAAAGTGCTGTCCTTCACTGACCTTTACAAGCTAACCATGAGAAAACAGCTTTAATTCATTCTTTTTAGTAATTAAGAGAGACCTTAAAAACTTCAGGGTAGAAGGTCGTTTTCATGCCCAATATGTAGAAAATTCAAATCCTTTAGTAGGAGATGCAATTCATTCTCACTATTAAGTTCATAGTGCAATGAAAGGTGTTATGAAAATACATTTCAGAAATTTAATAAATTATTTAAGACAAGAGTCCCCTAATACCAGGTCCATGAATGGGTTTAGAAAGAGTCTGTGCTAATAGATTTTTAAAAATAATGACAAAGTTTAGGCCAGTGATGTCTATACCAATGTAGACTTTTAACTATCAATAAATGTGAATAGGGCTGAAACTGGTTTGGCTCAGTGGTAGAGCGTCGGTCTGCGGACTGAAAGGTCAAGGGTTCGATTCCGGTCAAGGGCATGTACCTTGGTTGCGGGCACATCCCCGGTAGGGGGTGTGCAAGAGGCAACTGGTCGACGTTTCTCTCTCATCGACGTTTCTAGCTCTCTATCTCTCTCCCTTCCTCTCTGTAAAAAAATCAATAAAATATATTTAAAATAAATAAATAAATAAATAAATAAATAAATAAATAATAAATGTGAATAGGACTTTATTAAGGTGGATTAACAGAATCCAGTATGAGTAGCAGAATCAAAAGTGGTAAACAAATATAAGAGCTAGTGATAAGTTGCAGATTAATAAGTAATATTAGCTTTTAGGTACACTATGAATTTTAATGAGAAAAAAGGTACTTTGCTTATAAAATAATTACAAAGTAATTTCTTTTACGTAAACAGAGAAACGAGACAATGAAAACAGAAGCCTATTTATGCTATTGATTGCCTCCATGAAAGTTTAACCAATGAGGTCAATGAAAATATCAGCCCAGCAAAACAAGACAGCCTACTATAAAGAAAATGGAAAATATGAAGAGGGTTCTGGAAATACTACTCCAATTTCCTGCTAAGCAAAAATTTTAGCTCCAAAGGAAGATAAAGAGAAATGAAAGCTCAACTCTTTAAAAGTAAAAGTTTAGAACCAAACTTACTACTGATGATAATAAAAAATTGGGGCACATAGTTCTATGTAATTCCCCTTTACAAATGAGACCCATGCCCCACATACTTCAGGAATAAAATCAATTTATTACTTGGAATTACACAAATGTTGCCATCCACACATTGTTCTTTTCTTGATTGATGGATTCACTTAAGAAAAAAGTATAAAAGGCTCTACTTTTCAGCTTAAAGTCAGTATTAAAACTAACTCTCCTCCCTTTTTCTTTCAAAAGTCTGGAGGCTTCGCCAAAATTAACTTCACTCTTTCTTGCCCTAGTGAAGCTAACACCATCCTGGGCTTGGCTTACTTGTAAAACAGTTATTTCCCAGATGCTGGTTATCTAAAGAAAAAGAAGAGACAAAAGAGTATATCATCTAGGGTCTGACTGGATAAACTCATGAAGAGTTTAAGAATATAGAAATTCAACATTTCAATTAAATTATTAACATCTACAAAAAAGTAATACCAGCAATATACCTTCCATCTTACTTGACTTGATTCTTTTATTTTTTTAATATATTTTATTGATTTTTTACAGAGAGGAAGCGAGATAGAATTAGAAACATTGATGAGTCACTGATCAGCTGCCTCTTGCACGCCCCCTACTGGGAATGTGCCCACAACCAAGGTACATGCTCTTGACTGAAATCAAACCTGGGACCTTTCAGTCGTAGGCTGATGCTCTATCCACTGAGCCAAACTGGTTTCGGCATTGACTTGATTCTTTTAAAGACCTTGTAATAAGCAAACTTAAGGTAAGATGTTTCCATAAGCTATCCATAAGAATGAGAACTCCTCTCAATGAAGTTTATCAAGTGGCCTTTCCTCTTTTGCTTCTTTTCTCCGGGTTTTGAATACTTCAATAACCTTCTTTCAAGTCTTCCTGCTACTATGGGTGAGGGTGCATGCACTTGTGGAAAACAGCTGCTTCACATTGTTCCCTTTGCCTTTTTCTCTCTTCATCAAAAATGAATAGCTACCTTATTTCCTTATGTCATGGGATGAAAACAATTTAGTCATTATTGAGACTTCTAGCCAAATTCTAGTCCTTCTGATGGTACCCCTCCAGGGTCCAGATACATTAAAATTTGTCTGTGCCCTCCCCCCCCCCCCCCCCCCGACACACACACACACACATAGATAAACGTTACAGTCTTTTTTGACAACGGCAAAAGGATAAGTCTTGCATACCAACCCTATGCCACCATTATAAGCAAAGTACAACATGGGTCAGCTACAGGTTCCTCAGTAGAAACTATCACTCTATTTCCTTGCACAGAGAAGGCAATTTGTGTCCACAGAGAAACAAATAAATAAACAAAATCCAAAATGCCAAAACAGTAAGTTTTCAGTCTAGTCCAATAAAAATGGAGCTAGCAACTTTGGGGCTACTAGTAGACACAATACATTCACTTAATTGCATCCAGATATATTTCATAGGTCTCTCTGTTTTGGAGTATTATTTTCACTTTTGACCAACTCAGCATCCCAGCCTTAACACATCTGTGCTATCTACCAGAAGGCCAAATTAATCTGGAAGAGAGAATCAAAGACCAATCATAAAGCTCCATCACAGTCTCTGGTCTTCAACAGATTTTCCTATTTCCGAGGCCTCGTGTCATAAAACTGCAGCTATGGTGTCTGTGCCTATGACTGCGCACTGCCATGCACAAACAATGAACAAAGAAGATATTCACATATCATTGCTGTAACTGGCTGTGGCAAGGGTAACATTTTCAAAATGAAATGACAAGATCTAGACTGTGCTGCAGTGATTACAGTGGGGATTCTGCCAATTCTGGCAGGCAGAAGAGGAAATGTAAATGGACTCCATCAATTTGCTTTGAATCAGGAAAACAGTCTGCTACTAAGTGAACCAAATAAAATACCATTAGTTTAAAAATATGGAGTATTTCTTGAATGTGTGTATCAACCTTACCCAGGGCTATGCTAGTCTTCTGTTGTCATTCTAATTTTAGTAGTATATTCTGTGGAAACGGATACTATCCAATTTACTTAACCAAAAACACTAGAAGGACCTTGCTTTTAGTTTCATTCATATCAAGGCTACATTACATAATTATGCATAAGTGGACTACAAGTGTCATGGAAACATATTTTAGTTTACAAGGTATTTAGATTGCAAAAATCTACCTTGAGATGTACTGAGTATCATTGGTTATCATACCAATACTTAGGTCCCTGACATTTTTGTCTAAGTTATTTATCAACCTATGCTTTTATCCCTTTTGACCCCAAATCACAATCTCAACCTTTGTGTTTAATCTCATTTCTTTTCTTAGTGTTTCTCTTATACCAGTGACTGGCAAACTCATTAGTCAACAGAGCCAAATATCAACAGTACAACGATTGAAATTTCTTTTTTAAACTTAGCAACTATATAGGTTGGTACATTGTTATTAATTTAATTAGGGTACTCCTAATTGGCCTTTGCTAAAAACTCAAGGGGCTAAAGAGCCGCATGTGGCCCGTGAGCCGCAGTTTGCTGACCACTGTCTTATACCATACCTATTGATAAAGTATTGGCATGCTTATAAATAGACATGAATAAAAGAATGTATAGTGCATTAACATTTTATTTAATGAATTTTCACTCAAACTGGTCACAATGTTTATTCTTTTTTAAAAAATATATATTTTATTGATTTTAGAGAAAAAGGGAAAGAGAGAGAAACATCAATGGTAAGAGAGAATCACTGGTCTGCAGCCTCCAGCACAACTGTCATTGGGAATTGAGCCTGCAACCCTGGCATGTGCTCTCATTGGGAACTGAACTGTGACTTTCTGCTTCATCTCCTGAGCCACACCAGCCAGGCTTAATATCTATTCTTAATCTGCCCATTTCACATGCCAAATTTATTGGTTAAAGCAAGTATGCCCCAGTTTTACTTAACTTAAGCAGATAAATACATAAAGAGCTACTTGCAAATGTTCCAATTTTTTAGATTAAATTATGCCATTTGTTCAGTGAACACTACCCAAGTATATCCATAGGTAACAATACATTTCCAGAGGGATGATACAACATTGGATGAAAGACATGAAATTAGTAGAAACTTGATTTTAAAACTTTGCTTAAGGATGTCCGACTGATGGCTTAGGCCCACTAAGCCATCAGTCGGACATCCCCCGAGGGATGTGCAACTGTGAGAGGGCACAAGGCAGGCAGAGTGTATGAATTTCATGCACTGGGCCTCTAGTATTTTAATATTACACTAATAATAGTGAAAAAACCTTCTATGAGCAATTATTGACCAACTTCAATAGTGATTTATCATTCTTCAGTATTTGATCTCTAATAAAAGGGCTACTTTACTAAAGCAAAATTTGAATAATACAGCAATCAGATAGAGGGTAGCTTAATTTCAGTACAACTGTCACCCACCTATAATGTGAGGAGTAGTCCTATGAATGACTGACAACAACGTAGAGTCACAGATATATTTTTTTATTGATTTTAGAGAGAGAGGAAGGGAGAGAGAAAGATAGAAACATCGATAAGAAACAAGTGTCAATCAGCAGCTTTCTGCATGCCCTCTGCTGGGAATTGAGCTGGCAACCCAACCACATACCTTGACTGGGAAATTGAACCTGTGACCTCTTGGTGCATGGGACAATGCTCAACCAACTGAACCACACCGCTAAGCAAGTCACAGATATTTTAAAAAATACAATTTTTTTTTTTTTTTTTTTTTTTTTTTTTTTTTAGCTATTACAATATGGGCAAGGTAATTCAGAATGTATTGAACAATGGGAGAGAAGATTTTGAGATGGTCTTTACTTTGCCCTTTTAAATATTCATTGTTCACTTATATTTGATGTAGTACAATGTACCAAGTATTTGAGAAATTATAGTTACCATAGCTTAAAATGAGAGTAATAAGAATGACAAACTGAAATGGGTATTACTGTGTAAAAACAGCAACATAAATGATCAGCAAGTACAATATTAACATGTTCATTCGTTGATGCTCAATATGTTATCAATTGATCATCACCTAAGGCATACAGTTAAATAATAAATTACCTTATAATACTGCAGTAAGTTAAAGTGCTTCCTTAAAAATGTATCAACTAATAAAAACTTTTAAATTAGTTAATATGTCATTACCCCATTATTATTCCAACAAGTGCCCCACACATTATGATTCATAAGTGGTACCCCAGGAAGGGGCATGACTACAAAGGGTGAAGTAAAGAGATAAGGGAAAGTCCCAAGGTTGGAGAACTGTAGGAGCCATCAACAGACACTTTTGTGTGTGTCGCCCTATAATGGCTATTGCAGCGATGGACACATGATGGAGAATTTTGATGTGATGAAAACTCAGAGTGAGAACATCTATTATGATACATAAAGAGTACACCCAAAGCTTAGTTCTTAAGTTGAAAGATTAGGTTGAAACTGGAACATACGCTTTTAACTTCATCTAGTTAATACTAATAATCTCTACTTGATAATTATTTATGGTCTAATGTGATTATAATTTGATACTCTCATACCAATTGTGAGGGGCAAAAAGAAGAGACAGGAAAATTTATTTATAATATTTTCACTGTCATTATTAGAAATCAGAAATTTACCTTCTGTCAAAGGCCCTCAAAAACGACAAAGTTGTTGTTTTTTTAAGATGAAAGTATGGATTCTATTTTTATAGCATAATTGACAAAAATCATTATAATTTGCTTATTAGTTTAAAAAACCTACGTTCACATCTCTAGAAATTGACTAATTAAAACCTGTGCTTGGTTCCTTTGTTAAAATGGGTTTTACAATACTAATGTTCTCACCCATCAGTAGTCTACTCACAGCAGTATCACTAACACTAAGATACAAATAACAGTGCTGTATTTATGACTGCACTTTAGTTTCCACAAAAGCAAAATTCTGAGAAAAGCATGAGTCATTATCTCCAGGGTTAAAAAAATATTTCTTTGATCAGAATATGAAATGTTACTGAAACCAGTAATTTAGACTAGAAATTCCTTTTCTGAATAAAAGGAACAGAATGTTTCTTTTCTCTATGTGAACACTCCAAAATTAGCATAACTGTCCATCTGTCTGCTTTTACTACTCTGTATATCTGGTGTGTGGTGACAGAAAAAAAAAAAACCTTTAGTCTAGCCATTTTCAGTCCTGGTCCTTAGTTTTTCTGTCCTGTCAGCTTGTCATTTTCCCAGGATAAAATATATGCCCCACTGCCACACAACACACACACACACACACACACACACACACACACACTCACTCACTCTAACTTTTCCTCCTCTATTTGACTCAGCATCTATTACAAAGTCATTGAAATAAACATAGAAAACATTCTAAAAAGTGATATTTATATCCAAATTATTTAATGTTGAAAAGTTTTCAGGTCCATATTTTATATATTATCTTAAAATATTTTCCTTAATGCTCGGCCAGTGTGGCTCAATAGTTGAGTGTCAATGTATGAACCAGGAGGTCATGATTTGATTCCTAGTCAAGGCACATGCTTGGGTTGCCGGCTTGATCCCCAGTAGTGGGTGTGCAGGAGGAAGCCAATCAACGATTCTCTCTCATCATTATTGTTTCTATCCTTCTCTCCTTCTCCCATCCTCTCTAAAATCAACAAAAATAAAAGAACATTTTATTAAAAGGTCAAAGTTACAAAGAACCTATTGATGCTATAAATGATGTAATTAAAGACACCCCCCCCCCCGAAACTCCCCAATAAAAGTCAAAATAATCTTTCTATGATAATTATTCTGGCTTCCTTTATTCTTTTGTTTGTATCTCTTAATCTGTTAATTACTCAAATGTGGGCATTTTTCATGACATCATTGCTCTCTCAAACTCCAAAGTTAGAATCTTTAGAGTTATCATTCCTCGTGCATGATGTCATTTCCACCCATTAAATCGTCCTCAAATCCATCACTTTTTTTTTTTCTTGTTAGCTATCTTCTCTATCATATGTAAACCCTAAATAGTTCTTATGGGTAATACTGACCTGTCTCTAATTCTACAAGCATTCATTAAGCAATTGCTATCTATAAACACTGACAATTAAAGAGAAGGCATGTGTAATGAAAAAGAGAGGGGGAAATATCATTCATATATGTATAGTACATAAATAAATGTGAAAAGGACAGAGTTCCAAACTTTATTAACCAACCTATAAGGCAGTATGTAGTAATACAGGAGACATTGTGTGTGTGTGTGTGTGTGTGTGTGTGTGTGTGTGTGTAAGGGAGTCACACAATAAATGAAAAGGATTTCTGATAGGTACAGTGAGAAGGGCAGGATGATAAAGTGGGCAGTATGCAGTAAGACAAAAAAGACCTGGAAGCACATATTATTCACTTTCTCCCTTCCCCAATTCATTAACCAGTGTCATTAGAGGATTCCCACTCTGATTCATTACCCACAGTCACTACATACCTAATCACACTGCTACCCAATTAAAATGATAGGGAAACTTTAGTATCTACACATTACATATGGCTAAAACTCAGAGCCTCACCACAACTACTCTCTCCTCTTCCTCTCTCCCCACCCCCCAGCTCCCTCCAAGCTCTAACCTTATTGGATCAATCTTCTTTTTTGCATTTGTAAGTAGGGTCTATGATTTTCTTTTACATCTATTTCCATTTGTTGCTATTTCCACCATGCCTATCCTTTAAATTTAGCCCAAATGCCTTTCTTTCTCATTAAAACTTGGTTTATAATACTAGGTTAACTTCAGAATAATTTTGTTAAGTTCAAGAAAAATCAAAGCAAAACTTGGTGGCATTTTGATTGAGAACCTTTGATATATAGTAATTTAGGGAGAACTGACATTTTCACAAGATATATAGTCTTCCTATTCAAGTATGCATTTTCACTTATTTAAGTCTATTTCTCAATGTTCCTCAGCGGAAGAATATTCTGTGTTCATGGATTGGTAGAATCAATGTCATTAAAATGTCCATACTATCCAAGATAATCTACAGATTCAATGCAATCCCT